AAACAGTCTTAGAACCAAAATAACTTCAAATTGCCTCACTAGAAGATATCAGAATAAGTCTAAAGATTTCCTAAGATTAAAGAAGAAATTTTTTAAACATATTTACTTTCAGATTCTGTCTTTTGAACCAAGATTTTAATTTTTCACATTTCATCAGAACCCCTTAAATACTTGCTCCCCAAATCTAATTTATAATAAAATGTTAAAATCTGTGGTCCATTGTAAGACTATAGATTATTTAAAAACAAAGCTAAAGTTGTACTGAAGCAATCACCTCAAAGGCATCTTCAATGCCATCTTCAGTAACTCCTTCATGTGTTTCCTGTGCAGCCAAAACTTTTTCTGACAGATACTTAAGGATAAAAAATGATTCCTCAGTGGCAATACAGACTAGTTCTCCAGAATCAGACCAGAAAATCTGTAACACAACAAACACAGACAACTGATTTGAATTTCTAAGCGGATACGACAAACTGCAGATATTTTGTTTCTTACAAGAATAATCTTATAGTAAGGTAGTTTTAACTATGCACTTAACAATTTTATGTAGCATACTTCTACATACATTCGGGAGGGCGGACAGGACAGGGATATTCTATTTGTCCTAACAATGGGAAGAGGAGTGGGAAACAGAGGGGAGTGGCCAGAATCACTGGATATGTGTAATTTAGAGAGCAGCAACAGTCTATTTGGAGCCTTTTTTTTTTTTTCCCTAATCACTTACCCTAAAGAAATTTCATCAGAGATACAGTGTATATCTTTTAAAACATACATATAATGCAAATATATATGGTATGTATATACACAAATCTATGTTTTATACATAGAGTAAAGCTCCCCACCACCAATTTTTTTTCCCCTCTTAGGGCCACTATCACCATACACTATAAGACAAAACCAGGACCACAGGGAGGCTAGTTTGCCTGTCTGAAAGCAAAGTTTCCTGACCATGAAAGCTGTCAAAGCAGCAGGCACTTCAAAGGTGGGTTTGTTACTGGATAGCTCCCTGAGCCTTGAGTAGCCTTCATCAAGTAAGTGTGAAAAGGCTTTCTGAATGAGGGGGGAGTTTTTCAGGCCTTTCCAAGTCAAGAATACCTTGACTGCTTCTTGTCTTTAAAGCATGCTTTCTTCTTCTGTCAAAAGCCACTTAAAATATGTCACTTGAAATTTGTATACATTTTTATACCTGTCAAATATCTGTTTACTGCTTCATTCAACTAACACAATTCTGATTTTCTCAGCAATGTTAAGGTAAATGGCACTGTGTTCAACACAACGAAATAGACAGCAGAGTATAAGGACACAACTTGGCTTCAGGGACCCAGAACTCATCACTCACTGCAAAAACAGTGGAGGGAAAAAAACTCACATGTTTGGGCTGAATTTCAATTCTGCGTATGAGTTCTGTGTTGTCCCAGTCATAGAAGGCTAAGCCATTTACAGATCTGACACCCAACAAGAAGCCTCCATAGATACCTTAAAAGAATATAAAAAGATCTTGCTTAGATATTTTTGAGCCATTACAAAGGTTCTATAAATATACGTAAATGGCACTCACTTTCTGCTCCAAAGTCTGGTTTAAATGATTTTTTTTCCTTAAAGTTCTTAAATATCTTTACAACACTGTTGCTCTCTCTTATGGCATATCTGAGAGGAAAAAAGAAAAGGCAAATATAGCATATTATATAATAAACCACAATTCCACCAAATATTAGAAAAATCTTCAAATATTTTTGAGTAATTAATCATACAAAAATATTAAAGGAATATTTGAAGATTCATGGATGTAATTTTTCCTAGGGTATCAGAGAAATGTAAAGAGAACTCTTTACAGTTGGAAAAATATAAGGAATGGGATATACTATGTATTACACAATTAGGGGTTACAAACTAACTTTAAAAATTGGAAATGACACAAATGTGTTCATCAATAGGTGAATGATGGGCCGGGGATTTAGCTCAGTGGTTCCACCGCCTGCCTCGCAAGCCAAGGACCCAAGTTCAATCCCCGGTACCAAAAAAAAAAAAACAATAGGTGAATGATTAGACAAACTGTGGTCTAGTCATATGATGGAATATTACTCTGCAAATAATGGAAACAATCACTGATACAAGCAACATGAATGAATCTCAATAACAATATGCTGAGCAAAATAAGCCAGACACAAGAGCGTATACTATATGATTCCATTTATATAAAATTCCATGGAAGACAATTAAATCTGTATGTTGACAAAAAGCAGACCTGTGTTTGCCTGGGTAGGTGGGAGGTGGTCTGACTATTAAAGAGAAATAAGAATTGTAGGGAGTAGAAATGATATTCTATAACTTGACTGTGTTGGTGGTGAGATTACACATATTTGTCCAAATCCACTGAATGTAGGGTTATGTACATGTTGCTCTGTATCAATTATAACTCAGTAAAGCTGATTTTTAAAACTTAAGAAAAACTGGGCCAGGGATTTAGCTCAGTGGCGCTGTGCCAGCCTTGCAAGCACAAGGTCCTGAGTTCGATCCCCTGTACTGCAAAAAAAAAAAAAAAAACTTAAGAAAAACTGTGACAAGTAGATCATTAGTCAGCTGTGTTTGTTGATTAACAGAAAATTAATCCAGGCTTCTTTCTATAACAGGAGCCATGACTACGACTGGATATTAACGTTGTGTGAGAAGTGACCTACAGAGTGCTTTGCTTAGGAAAACTAAGATGCTGAGCAGGTTCCTGACTGGATACACCTCAAAAGAGGGAACTATCAAAATAGAGGAAGAAGTATACAGAGATGTAAGGCAATCCACAAACCATAATTTTACTGAAGTTAATAACTACTTCTGAGTATAAAGAACTATGTATGTATATTTAGGAAATTTGGGGCAACAAAACAGTGAGGAGGTAATTCAGCTGTGGTCTGAAAACATGAAAGCCCTAATATTTGTTACATGCACAAACAAAAATTAAAAAGGAACCAGTCAGTGACCACATAGTAAAACAATTCAGTTACATGATCACTCCTGCTCTTACTGTGAATATTTTATGAATACTCTGAATTCAGACAAAAATTTGTGAAGAATGGAATGGAGATGGGAAACCTCAAGAAAATCAGTTGATTTTTTTTTTTTTTTTTTGGTACCAGGGATCGAACTCAGGACCTTGCACACGCGAGGCAGGTAGTGGCACCACTGAGCTAAATCCCCAGCCCAAGAAAATAAGTTTTTTAAAAGACACAATAAAGTTCTCATTAAGATAACATCACAGCACAGCATCTCTCCCAACTAGCTCATGAAAGACCAGCAGCATCTTAAGAGACCATGTCTTATGAAGGGCCTGCAAAAGGACTAGATTTGAGGGCCCATTTTGCCTTAAGCTCATAAGGACCAGGTACTGCCATAGAAAATGGCTGCTGTGTCCTCAGTTTAATGGAATAGACCAGCCTGACTGACCCAGTTTGATACTAACTACATAGAGAAACACAGACCACACTGAGCCTTGCGAATATCTTTTTGGAGTAGCACACGCACCTACCAGTTCGGGCAATCTAGTTATCATATAACCAAAACTTACTCTGAAGAATCATGGGCCCATGCAAATTCCTGGGCAGACCCAAAGCTCTTGTTTCTCAAGGCCATTGCAGTGTAGATGATATACTCCCCATCACCACATACCACAACAAACCTGGAAATTATAGAAGTCAGGGAGAGAATCACAGGCCAACGACATATAGAAGTCGAGAAACAATACTCATTCTTTCGGTAAAATAATTCTAATAACAAATGTTATTTCAGTCAATTATTACAACTTAAAATCTTTTGAAGTTATATAGTTCTTTAAAAATAGAGTTAGACAAAAATACTCAGGGCAACAAATCCAAAAACAAATTATGAATATGAGGTTATTGCTAAAAATGTTATCACATGGCCTTCTCTTATAATCTAAGGAAGGTAAGCATGGCTGAAAATGCAGGAGAATCTCAATTATTCACCACATATCTGCTGAGTACCTGGTATTAGCACTGTGCTCAAGACATTTACACCATAGGAAAGCACTTTCTCATTAATGAAAGATTATCTTCATTGAAGCTGATCGTTCAAATGAAGAAAAACATATCATTCTAGTTTTTAGTGACTTAAATTTATAAAAGGGATTTAAATAAAAATAGAATGTTGAATAATCAATGAAAATTTTCCAATAGACATAAAATAATTCTCTTCAAGTGAGCAATTAGAACCTCTTGCCTGCTATCTAACCACTGCCAAAGGTAAAACGAAACCTAACAACAGAGGATGTTTTATGACAGAAGAGAAATATATATTATAATGCATTCTTAACCTTAAGATAATTATATTACAAATGTTAAATTCATCATTTATTGAACTCTCGAAGCACACTGTCTTTATTACTATTCAAGACAGCATTATAAAATGCCCAGACCTATTATAAAATAATTTTTTAGAGCTTTTTAAAGTTCTGTAGGTTTAAATTTATCATTTTAGGAACTCTTCTCTCAAAAATGTTTGGTGATTTATAAATGTTAAGGGAAATAACTAACAGTTCAGATTATGAAAAAAAGAATTATTAGCAATCCCCAAATGTTCTCAAAGGACACATACCTCAGTTTTTCTTCTGAAGAGCAATGAATCAGCAAGTACTTAGCACATACTAAGTCTTAAGATAAGACATGATCCTTGCCCCCAAAGGGGCAGACAAGAGCTTAAATGCAACACATGTGAAGTAAAAGTAAGCACAATATTATTCAGCTGCTGCACCTTCCATAATGACCGGACAAACTGGCATGGCTATGTGCAGCTGTGCTGGGGATTGTAGGGAGGGCAAAAGCTCAATGAGCAGTGACTGGAGATGCCTACCATAGGAACATGCTGTAGGCCAGAAAGGCCAGCCCCTGCTCTAACTTACACAAAAGCTCAGAGAGATTTTGATGATGGCTTACCGCCCATTAGGGTTGTGCTGAATTGTCTGAGGGTATATTTCACAACTGCCCATATCCTTTACTGCCAGTGGCAATCTTTCTCCATCTTTAATTTCAGCATCTCCCATTGCTTTTAGGTTGGCCTGCTGGACTTCTGAGTGCTTGGCCCAAATTATCTTTCCATTGGCATCCATGGACATGGCAGGTTCCTCCCGCCCAAGCTGGAAGAGTGACAAACGAAATGAAAAGGTAAACAAAACCACAACAAAACAGATATTTTTTTCTTTTAATAGAGAGGTCTACTTCCTTTCTTCACTTTAAATCATCACTGCTTAACCTCTAGTGCTTAATGAAAGAAGTGCCAACTAACCATATTGATTATCTTGGAAAGTGACAGTACTGAAATATAAGGAAAGTGGCTTTGTCTCTGTCCATTTATTTAGATAGTAGAATTACCTTAACAATGATGCTCCCTTCATCATAGCCCAGAGCGACATTGTTAGACCCTCTCAGACTGGCCACACACCACACCCTCTCCATTCCGTAATTCAATGTGCTTTCAAGCCGGTAGGTGCTTGAATGCCAGATACGCACTGTTCCTAAAAAGAAAATTGTGAATATTACCTTTTGATATGAACATTAAAAATAAAAAATGAAGTGAATAAACCACATGAAGTCTTTCTATTCCAACAGAAAATACTTCTGACTTGGGCCGGGGATTTAGCTCAGTGGTTCCGCTGCCTGCCTCAAAGGCACAAGGGCCCGAGTTCATCCCCAGTACCAAAAAAAGAAAATACTTCTAATTTTATGGCCAACTTTAATGACCAATTTTTTTGATCTATAATTGTTAACTGATTTTTACAAAGTAACAAACATAATCACAGAAACTTATAAAAGAAACTAACCTTAGGAATTGTGATTTTTAAGTGTGAGATAATAATAGCATTTCCTGGGTAGAGTGCTATGTGTCAGATGCTTTCTATGTATGATTTCTGCTCACCCTCACACTATAATCCCAGGAAGTAGACATTATTTTCCAATTTCATAATCTGTCTATACCACACATTTGTGAAGTAGCAGAGACTGAATTTGAACCTAGACTTAACTCTAAAGCACATGCTTTTTCTGTTTTTCTCTAGAATATCTGGCTGTCCTCTTAAGTGATAGAATCAAAATACAGTACATTAGAATGATAATGATGATAAAGCCCCTTTATTCTTTGGTAACTTAAGACTAGTACTCTAATAGCAATATCAAAATAACTAGAAACTTCCTATTACAATGTGGAAATACTACACAGTTTAAATATTCATTGAATAATTACAAGCATAGGAATAAATACATACTCTAACTTACCATCTTCTGAACCTGTGATGATGATTGGCAACTCAGGATGAAAACTGGCACAAGACACATTCTGGGCATGTCCCTCCAGTGTCTGCACACATGTTTTATTCTGTAATTAAGACACAGAAAACATTTTTAGTAGCGAAAAATAAGTAATTTATCCTTAATTTTCTCAATGCATAGATACATTATGATGATAGTGGTTTGACAATCTAAATAGATCCAATGTAGAAAATTTTAAAACAATTACCTAGTATCCATGATGTTTTCTTGTTTCATAGAACAGATAAATGTAGCTATTGTATTTAAAGAAAAACCCACTAAAACATCTAAGTTTTCATATGAATGTTATTTCTTCAAATTCTTAGCATAATGAGTTTCTTCTGTATTCATGTATAAATTTTTTAAAGTTTCAAAGTAAACCTGGCTTTCTAGACTCTACTGCTCATAAAAACTTTTGATGTGAGAGACAAAAAACAAATGTAAGAAAAAGTATAGTAACAGAGTTCATAACTAGGTTTATGAGAGTTCTGTGTGGAAAAATGCTTGTACCATAGCTATGTCATGAAATTAATCACTGACCTGCTTATTTTCAAATATAAAATAGAAGTCTGCCAGTGAGAATCCTCAAGATGTATAACATTAAAATGTTCAAAGTTCTCAATACAATTATTAAATGAAAAAAAAATGCTAGCATTTTATTTTTAAAATCTTGACATGCATTTGTGTTTGTTTTTTTTTTTTAACATTACTGAAGATTGAAGCCAGGCCTCTGCACATGTGAGGCACGTACTCTCCTGGTGAGCTACATCCCTAGCTCTGTGTTCATTTTTATACAATTCTGAGACCACAATTTTTACACTATGAACAGAGCTTAGCAACCAAATTTTAACTGCCCTGTAAGAAACAGTGAAAAAATGTATCTAATATATGTTGAGTAAGATAATGAAAAAAGTGTACCTGATAATCCCATATTTTAACAAGACGGTCATCTGCACCTGAAATGAGGTATGGTTTGTCACCACCACTGTAGTAATCAATGCAATTCACACCTTTTTCGTGTCCCTCCAGAGTGAAGTTTGGTGATGAAGAGCCCAGCTGCCACACCTTCAGAGAGCAACAGCCAGTTTAGTAGAGAGCTTCGTTTTCAGAAGGCAGATCCATCACACTTCTGACATGCAACATACAATGCCAAAGCCCAGGAGAGAAAAGCTAAGAAGCTTTCATTTTTTTCCCCACCTATCTGTTTTAGTTCCTTCTCATTTTACTTGACTTTCCAATAATCAAGGCAGAATCACTGTGAAGTTCTCTGAAAACGGCAATCTCCAGGCTTTATCCTGAGATTATGAATACGTACAGTTGATCTACAGTGAAGCCCAAGGATCTAGATGTTTAACACTGAGAAACATTACTCTAAGGGCAGATAATGATTCTGTGGGAGATTTAATACAAAGCTAATGAAAGTGGATTTAGTAAAGTGTACTGAAAGGAAAAAATTACTGATTAAAAAATTTAAAGTACAGAAAATTAGTCAAAAGTTACAGGACTGAGCTTTATCTTTATAAATATTTTACTGGTTGTCTACTGTATGGAAGGCCCTGAGGAGAGTTTAAAGCTATGTAAACAAATATTTACCACTTACTTGTATGTGACAAACTTTACTTAAGCCAAAGGTAATTTTTGTTCCACCAAAAGGGTAAAAAAAGTAAAGTTAAACCCTAAAATATTCAGATGTGTACAGTTTATATAAATTAAAGGAAAACCAGTAAATATGTTATATGAAATTAAATGCGTAAGCAAAGATTAATCTGATTTTATATCTATGCTTATGGAGATTTTAAATATAATGGCAAAAGAATGACTATACTCACTGCAATGTGCATTAAGCATCTAGTGCAAGCAAAACATTGTGTTGTTTGCTGTTGAATGCCTATTTGGGAGAAGGGGAAAACATGCAGTTCCTTCCCCAAGTGTCTAGTATTTCAGAGGATAAAGAGTTCCAAAAACATTAATTATGACTCTATGTGAGAAAGGTATTAATAGAAGCAAAAGGAATGGAATGAGCATCCACAGCTGAAGTGGATGCCTTTACAAGAGCTTCTCAGAGTTAAGTATTTGTGGCAAGCCTTGAAATCTGTGTTGTCTAGAGGAATATAAATCAAAAAGGGAGAGTAAAGAAACTTCAAGGTGAGGGGAAGAGTTGGTTAAGGGAAGGTTCCAGAATGGTGAGGAGACAAGGGTTACAGATGTCTTATAACATTAGTGCAGGTTAGCCTTGGCACTCCTAAGGCACTTGGACTTTACACTCACATTGAGAACTGGTAAGACGAAATCTATTGTTGGGAAAAATACTGGTTGCAGTATGGGTAACAGAGTAAGAAAGGGAAAATGGAAGCAAAGAATTCCAGTGTGAAATTGATTAATAATGAGTTGAGGTCAACAACGAATATACTAAGGAGAGTAAAGTAATAGCCTAAAGAAGATCACATCATTTTTCTTATTCCGGGTTCCTGAAGGCAAAAAAAGCTTAACAATGTGTTGCTTCCACATGGAAAAATGCTCCTTCTGTAAGAGGACTGCTACAATATTCTAAATAGAACATGCCCTTCTGGATCAAAATGAGACTATTTTGACTTCAAAATGAACTTGTGAAAGAAACTTCTAAGGCAGAAGTAGCTTTCTGGATAGTCAATAGTGAAACACCCACATAACTGTACTTCGTTAGCAATGGTAATGTACACACAGAGCGGCCCCCTACCTTGATGGTCCTGTCCAAAGATGCACTGGCAAACTGATTATTATCTTTGGGGTTGATCACAATCTGCATAACATAATGGGTATGTCCTTCAAACACTTGTGAACAGGACCATTTTTTATCCCAGTCCCAGAGCTTAATAAGCATGTCATCTAGGCCAAAAGAAAAGCCTCAAATTAGTTACAATTTCTACTTCCTTTTTCTATTTCAGAACTAAGACACAAAATCTTTGTGTCTTTTAAGGCAGCAAACAATACAAATCACACATTTTGTGATTTAAAGAAACAAAATCATACTGAAAAAGATGTTCCCAAATCCTCATTTATCCTAAGGATAAACATAACTAGACAGAAGAGTCCATATAAAATAGCCTACTAACAGCAAATATAAAAAGTTGTGAAAAAATTATTATAAAGAACTCACTGGGCTTCAAAGAATGAAAAGAATAATATAAGTGTGATTAGAGTCTACACGTGATTGAATAATGATAGTAATGATAATTGAGAATAAGCATTTGCTCTTGTAAGATTGGTTTTTAAGAAGTTCTCAATATTTAATTTAGAAACTAAAAGAAACTCAGCAGTAATGCCAATTCAGTGCTATTCATTTTAATTGCCCTCCCAAAGGTTCACTGTATAGGAACAAACTAGTCTGAATACAAAGATAAAACTGAGTAGGGTCTATGGCAATCTGCGAACAACTCCTCAGCATGTAAATGAGCTTTCTGCTTAGCAGATGCTTAAACAGCTAGACCTTCAGGTCTTCCTTGACAGGAATCAGAGCAATTGCTATATAATCCTAAGTACAGCTGATATTTCATTGAAATACAAAAGCAAGCAGCATCAATAGCACAATAATGGATTTAAATGGCTTAAGAGCTGCTTAGAATTAAAACTCTACTGGTAACAGCAGGTAAAGAATAGTGTATCTCACTGAATGAAAATTAATTGCCCAAAGAGATGCATATGACCAAAAGAGGTCATCTCTTACCACTGCTAGTCAGAATGAAAGGCTGGGTTGGATGAACAGCTATACAGCGAATGTAGTCAGAGTGTGCTTCAAACATATGAACTCTTTCCAGGGTATTGTAATTGAACACTCTGATCTGCATGTCATCCTAGCAATGGAAATGCACAAACCATCATCATTTTTATGAAGTAAATTTCATAAAACACGGTATTACAGACTCAAGAAACAACGTCCATGCTTCAAAACACTGCATTAATTGATCTGGGTGTGGTGGTGCAACCAGCATTTGGGAGCCTAAGGCAGGAGGATCTCCATGAGTTTGAGGCCAGCCTGGACTATACAGTGAGTTTAAGGCCAGCCTAAACTACATAGCAGAACCCTGTCGCAAAAAAACAAAACGAAACAAAACAAAAAACACTGCATTAACAAAACAAATCAGGAATCAAAATTCTGTAACTAGTTTACATAATGTTGACCAAATCAGAAAATGGGATTAGAGACTGAAAGAATAACTTACCGCTCCTGTCACAACCCAGTTCTTCCTTGCAACAAACTTTGCAGCTCGAACAGGAAGATCACATACTTCAAATGTCTTCACCAGTGTCTTTAAAATTTAACAATATACACATTGAACTATGAAAAAGTAACTGAAAATTCTATTTTATTTAAAATATCCAAACTCTTAGATCATTTCTAATTTAAAAATATTCTCAGATTAAAATATGAAAGTTCAATATTAAAATGAAAAAAATAACCTGATTACCTTTTCCTTAATAGATTCATAATTAAAATGTCTTTAAAGGGGAAAGCAAATGTCCACAAGATGATATTCCAGATTCCCTATTCTCTGGCCCTTTTCTCACAATCTAGCTTTACCTTGCAGCTCTCAGCCCGATCTTTGCTCCCATTCCCTCTGCTTAGAAGCCCTGCTATAGAAACCTATACTTTCCTTTTATAACAGCACCTCGTAATTGCATGTTTAATTTCAATATTCCCTGCTATGTTCTGTCCTATGAGTGGGAATCATTTTCTCCACTATATGGCCAGAACCTAAAACAGTGGCTGGCACTTACTAAATGAATTCACTCTTAACTCTTGGTTTCTTCTTTTTAAAACTGAACCCACAGCTGTGACTCATAAACAAGATACAATTCTTTTGCATGCTTTAGCAATAGACTCCCATACAAATGCTTTTCCTTCCTCAGTAAGTATGAAAACTTAAGTGATTTAGATGTGTTTTTGAGCTGCTCCAAGTGTATTAGCTATACAGGATAAAGGCAGAAAAATCGGAGAACCCCTAGAAAGAGCAGAGATGAATGTACCTCTTTGTGTTCCCACTTTGATGCATGTTCTTAAAATTCTAGAAATCAAACTATCTTTTTTCAATCCCTTTCTTTGTACTAGAAAACAATAATGAAGTATTTAAAAAATATAATACAATCTTTTGGTTTATTAACCATGTGCACTGAGAGAATCATTAGGAACTGGTTCACAAAAACTGTTGAGCCCACTCTGGCTTTCTAGGCCAGATGTCAATGCTTCAACAAATGAAGACAGCAGTGCACACCTACACAAATGCTACTAGTTGACTATGATATTAGCAGAATATGCAATCTATAAAATGGCAAAAAAATCCATGAAAACTGAGGAGGAGCCACCCAATCCCAGGATATGCAGAACAATAAAAATAAATCAGCTGCAGAACAATCATGGCTCCCTACCATGTTGGGTGCTGTGGCTGGTACAAATGACACATGAAATGGTCTCCACATTCTGGGGCTAAACAATCTAAGGGGGAAGAAAAGCTATACCCTCAAATATACATATGTCCCATGTGAATTAGGAAAGTCAGGACTAATACTTACATAGCCCTTTATAGGTCTCATATATAATGTTATCTAATATTTGATCCTTTTAACAATCTTGTGATATAAAGCTCATAATAATATCATCTTCAATTTATATAAAATACACTAAGGATTAACATGGTTAAAAGGCTTCAAATCATAAAATATTGTAAATTATCTCATTATTTAAATTGAGGCACATTTGAATTTACTTCCAAAAGCCTTTTGGCTCTCTCAAAAATGTTGCTTTTGATATGTATGAATGACAAATAACTCTTGTTGGTGATAGAGGGGAAAATACAGGCAGAACCAAAGATCAATCATTTAATAAAGACTGTTAACTACCATGAGCCTCATACTATGTAGTGTCCTATTCACTGAAGCAACAGTGGGAAATAAGACTAGGAGATTCCTGTCCTCACAGAATCTCCATTCTTAGAGCAAAGAAGAACATTAAACATAAAATTACCAATGAGATTAATGACAAAAGGGGAAGCAGACAGGCTGTAGGAGGGCAGAAAAGGGAACAAGAGAAAAAGGAGGCAAAGTAGATATCCAGATAAAACAGAGATATATCAAAGCCTAGAGAAAACTACGGGAAGTAAACCTGGGTTTAAGAACATTTGACAGTGAAATGACAATACTAACAGATGTATAAAGTGAGCCAACAGAAGGACTCTCCGGGAAGAATTAGGGTGGTGAGACGCCAACCTGTTAGGCATAAAGTAGAAATACTTTAAATAGTTGGGAGGACAGAGAAAGGCAGATTGGAGGACAGAGACAGAAAGACAGAGAGAGAGAGAGAGAGAATGAGGAGGAGGAGGAACGGAGAGGCAGAGAAAGAGGAGGAGGAAGACCAATAAAGACCTGAAACTGCAAAGAACAGCAATTTTAAATTAGTGAGAAAGGAATGCTTTTTATTCTTTAGTTCAGCAAATAAGTATTAAGCACTTAACTATGTATGAGATAATGACACAGGTACTAGGATACAGTAGAGAACAAAATGTTAATATGTACAAAATGCCACTGATGAGGGTCATAGTTTAGTGTGCACTATAGTGAGTATAATAGCGTCAGGGTATTTTTAGGTTTATTCCCAACCTTAGCTCTCTAATCTTATTTTTGTCATCTTAAATTCCTCAATTGCAAATTTTATATGGATTTCAAGAACTTAACTTTGAAGATAAATACTACATAAGTAGACCCATAGCTGTATGGCAGAGTGCTAATGATACTTTCGCATCTAGGAAATACTAAATACAGTCCAAAAAGACTGGAACATTAAGAGAATGAGATACACATTATGGAAATTTATAACAGGCATAATCATACTTGTAGTCAAAAGCTAACTACAATTATTTCTATATGGCTTCTTGAAAATTACCTGTATATCATTACATTACATATCTGGGGATAAATAGGTAGAATTCTTGAAGACACTGGTGTAGCCAAAGACTTTATGAACAAAACACCAATCACACAGGAACTATCACAAAGGATCAACAACTGGGATCTCATCTAGTTAAAAAGCTCTTGCACAGCAAGAGAAACCACCAACAGAACAAAGGGACAACCTTCAGTGTGGGAAAAAATTTTTACCAGCTGTTCCTCAGACAAAGGACTTTATCTGGAATATATGAAGAATTGAAAAAAATCAGACCCCCCAAATTTAAAGACCCAATCCAAAAATGGGCATCTGAAATGAATAGACACTTCTCAGATAAAGAAGTAGAAACAGCAAATAAATATATGAAAAAATATTCAACATCACTAGTCTTTCATGAGATGCAAACTGAAACAATGCTGAGATTTCATCTCACTCCAGAAAGAATGGCTCTCAAGAAATCAACCAACAACAAATGCTGGTGAGGGTGTGGGGAAAAAAGGAACCCTTTTCCTCTGTTGGTGGGAGTGTAGACTGGTGCAACCACTGAGGAAATCAGTAAGGATATTCCTCAAAAAACTAAAACTAGAAGTTCTATTTGACCCAGGTATTGCGCTTCTTGGATTCTTCCCAAAAGAATTAAAAGCATCATACCACAGCGATATATGCACACCCATGTTCACAGCAACACAGGGTGTAATATCTAAATCTTGGAAACAGCCCAAATGCCCATCAATGGATGAATGGATAAAGAAGATGTGGGTTTTTAAAAAATACAATGGAGTACTATTCTGCCATAAAAAAGGTTGAGCTTGAGACATTTATAGTTAAATGGATGCACCTTGAGGCCACAGTCTTAAGTGAAATAAATTGGACACACATGTATAAATACTGCATTGTTTCTCTGGTATGAAAAACTGAAGTGTAAATAAGGACCAAAATGTATAATAGATAAAATGAAATAGGAAGAAAATGTTCAAATGGGTAGGGGAACGGGGCGGGGGGGGGGGAGAAAAAAATGAGAAAAGAAGGAAAAAATGGAAACAAAGCTTTTGTAAATAAGGAGGGGAAGTAGGGTTGAAGGGAGGGAAGGGGAATGGGAAAAAATAAGAATCAAGATATATCATGTACAGGTACAAATTCCCTGTGATGAATGTGATCATGATGTATACCTAAAGTGTTCCAATAAACTTAATTAATTTTTTTAAAAAGATAGTTAGAATGGGAAATTAAGTATTGACAATGAAATGCTTTATCTAGCAAATTGCCTTACATTTTAGCTTCAGTTTCCCCAATTTCAAAGAAAAGCTAATACTACTACATCAGAGTTACTAAATTTAAATATCACAAATAACATATCTCCAAGAAATACCCTCATAAATGTAGTTGCCATTTAAAATAATTTGTATCAATTTGAGAAAGCAGTGTGCATATAGCTACTGGACTCTTATGATAGTTTTTCTTATTCATTATACAAATAGTCTAATACAGTATTTTTGTTTGTTTGTCCTAATACAGTATTTTATTTTTAATAAAGTCTTTTAAAAAATTCTACCTGTGTTTCATGATTCCAAACACATACACTGCCATTGTAAAGACTTGCCAACATCCATGGCTCTGTAGGATGCAAATCCACACTCTTAACCCGATCAGATCTAGCAGTTAGCTTTCTCTTGATATCAAGTCGAAGAGGCTAAGGTGAAAAAATATTTAAAATAGTTAAATTTCTAAGCCAAATAAAACATTTTTGATATCTCAATTGCAAATAGTATATTAAGAAGGCCTAAAAAGTAATTCCTTTACTTTGCAAAACTGTGCACATAGTTTTAAGTCTAAAACACTTCTTCAATCATACATAGAAGAAAATGAGAATTAAAAAATTTTTTTATTTATAGCAGTAGTTCTTTTAGTTCTCAGTACCCCTTTACATACTTAGAAAGTTATATTTTTTGTACTAAGCCAAAAGGCTGAGAAGCAAAAGAAGTTCTATTTTCAAAAGAAAATTAATAAGAGTGGCAATAGTGCGTATTTTGTAAAAACTCTTAAATTCTGACTTAATAGAAGACAGTTGTTTTCTCATGTTTATGCTTTCAGTATGTTGTGATATAGTTTTGATTCATGTATACCAAAAGCAGTGATAATCCACTCACAGATATGTAGCTGAAATATTTTAATAATCATTGAAATAACGGGATATTTTTCTTTGACACCACATTAAAACTCTAGATGTGAGTTTCTTAAATGATACTTGTAATTTGGAATCTGAAACTGTATCAATGAACTATTTATACTTTGTTAAATTAAAATCTACTGGTCAGTCCTTTGGGTATTTCAGTCACGTATGATTTTATATCACACTTTAGTCATCTGAAGGTACTGGCTTATTCAGTAATGAAGATCTTCCAAATATTGGCACATTTCATTTTACTCTATCAAAGGATTACATTTATTAATATCACTACCTACTACCTCAACTGATAAGTCTTTATCAGATATCCTTCAAGTTCATGATAAATGTTCTCTAAAATTCTAATTTTCACTTGAAAGCTCCAGTGCTATCATTAGCAACAAATACTCCAGGGACCAGCTAACTTCTAGTTTTTAGAATATGCCTACCAGATAAGGTTGAATAACCACAGTTTCTCAGCCACTGTTTCAAGTAAAACTCACATCTTAAACTTTTAACTAATGCCAAGTGTTTTTCACAAGATAACCACCATACTTCAGTATGCAACAGAAGTGTTTTATTCATTCTCCCCATTTCATCATACAGAGTATTTTTTTTTAAAGTGTTGAGATGTAGTAACAGTAGCGTTTACTGTCTTACTAATGACATTCTTAAATGAAGCTGGCCTTTTAAAACTACGCGGCAATGAAGAATATACTGTTAGCCACTGTGCCAGTAGGTGTACGTTTCACTACTTTTATACCATAAGTGCAAATATTAACACAGTGAAAAGAGCCAATAGCTTTTTACTACTAAGAAAATCATTTTTTTTTTTTAAAAAAGGAAATCATTTTAATCTGTGGACCTCCTGAAAGAGTAATGGGGACATGTAAGGAAATACAGACCACACTTTGAGAAGCCTTGGTTTATACTATCTAGTTAATAAGTGTATAATATCTATTAACTCACAATACTGTGCCCATATCATTAGCATCATACCAGAAAATATTCTGAAGAAGTGTTATTTATGCAATTCTAATAACTTTAAGCCACAGTATTAAATGAGTTCTTCAGAGAAAAGCAGATTTTATTTTGTCAAAAAATTAGTAAATGCAAGTAAGGTGAAGTAAGAGTTATATCCAGACTGATGAAGACCTCTGGAGTCAAATGGGAATGTCTGCAGTATTTTCGTGAATTTAAGTTACACAAACCTATTGAAAAATCAGAGCAGTTTTAAATAAAATATAAATAAAAATAAAAATATATTTTGAGTCAAAGAATAGTAATATTGGGCCGGGGATTTAGCTCAGTGATTCCGCCGTCTGCCTTGAAAGTGCAAGGACCCAAGTTCAATCCTCGGTACCAAAAAAAAAATAGTATTTTAAAAGTTTTTCTTTTTCTCAGCCAGATTCCTCATCTGAACTATGAAAAGAAAATGATAGTTATTATTTCTCAATTATCCCAAGGATCCCATTTTAGAAGAAAAGTTAATTCACTATTCACAATGATATTCTAGGGCAGCAGGTTTAATTCCTCCTTGTAAGTAGGTTGAGAAAGACTGATTTAAAATATTATTTCCTCTTCAACAGGTCTTACACACAACCTCAAAGTTCTTGGCAAGCTGAGGTACATCTTCATTGCTGTCATCTTCCACAACTATCATGAGTGGCACAGAAATTTACTTTTCAATATAAAATGAAGATCTAGCGGAGAGAATTTCCTGAAACAAAGTAAATACTGCACAAGCCTCTTATCTCTGGATCAAAACTGGGTCAATGACTACCTCCAACTCTTCTTACTTCTACACAAATATAGACCACCTTTATCTCTCACTTTACAGGATCTGAGCTCCCTGCCTCTTCAATTGCCTTGAAAATGTTTCTACTGTTGTATCTTCCTCTTCTTCTCAAACTCTGTACTTTAAACAATCAGCTTTGAATTTCATTCTAGTTTCAGGGAAGTAGAACTTTTTATGTCAATCATTTCTGGATTTTGCCCCACTAATTGCTATCACAAATTTTAACTTGTTTCTTGTCTCCTCAGAGTCAACAAACATGAAGGGTCCTTGTGCCAGGAACCACGGTGGGGACTTTCACATAAGATGAAACATTTAATACTTATAGAAATTGGATACCTATAAACCATGTGTTGTATTGGAACAATGTCGTAATTGATAATTGAGAAAAAGTGATATTCAGAGAGTGAGCCAAGGAACTCTGAACAACCCCAATATACCTCTATATATTCCCAAAGCACAAATCCCAGTTTAAAAAGCACAGGCAAGAACTGTTTTGATATTTCCTTCAACATTTCAGCAACAGTTTTAAATAATAAGACACTGTACTAGGCACTCTGGGACAAAGATGATTAAGATGCTTACACTGAATCCTCAATTCCAAATGTCTCCCTCCATCTTGCAAAAGCTAGAAGACTTAGGACTCAACTTAAAAGCTACTGCCACCAATAGACCTTTCTGATTATCCTAGTCTGAAATATTCTTTCTTAGGGGACCCTTTAGATTTCATTTTAACCACTCATGGTACATTTGTACACACATCTCTTTTTGATTTCTAGAATAGACACTCCTTAAGGGTAGGGTCATTGCTTATGCATGACTTTATCTCCATAACGTCTTGTATATTTGGGAATAGTGAGGTGAGGAGTTAAGGACAGACAGTATCATCCAAGTCTGCAGTCATGCTGGATTTAAATTTAAGATCTACCACTCATTTTAGATATGTAATATGGAGTAAGTTTACTTAGCTTCTCTCTGGTTTGACTTTAAACCAGAAATAATACTTATGTGTACCTCTTGATGTTAGAATTAAATTTAGAGATCAGTTACAGCAGTGCTTGGCCTATGGTAATCACCCCATAAACATTATAATTCTTATCTGCCAGCTATTATGAGTTATCAGATGGCAAATGTTTAGCAAAGTGTACAGCACAGAGTAAAAATTTTGGAATAAATAAACAAATTTATGTTTTGTACATTCTACAGATGATTTACAACACAGTGATCCCTTAGTATCTATGGAAGAATTGCTCCAGCACTTCAGCCCACACTTTATGGATAGGAAAAATCTATGGATGCTCAAGTCAAATTACAGTATTTGCATATAACCTACACATAACCTCCTACATACTTTAAATCATTTCCAGATTACTTGTAATATCTAATGTGATGTAAATGTTGTATAGCTGTTATATTGTATTGTTTAGGAAATAATGACAAGAAGAAAAGCTTTGATTATATTCAATTTTCCCCTAAATATTTTCAACTTGCAGTTGGCTGAATCTATGGATGTGGAACCAATGGATGTAGCACTATATATTAAAGAATGAAGGCAATATTTCAGGTTAAAAATACTTGATTCTTGAAATTAGACGAATGCAAGAGCCTTTTTCAAAATTTTTCATTATAGGAAACACAGCAGACTCAAATCAGCAAAGACTGTTTGTATGTCTTGTTTAGGGGGACTCATGAAAGACTACAGATCAGAATGGTGTTGGGAGAGGTATCTAATGAGGCAACACAATAAATTTTATGCAAAATTTTCTTCCTCTAATCATTTTTCTGAGAGTATCCACAGCTTTCACCAGTTTACCCAAGAGATCAACCTCTGTTGTCCCAACTCCATCACTATCTGCCTTTTATAGACTTAATTTTTTTTAACGGTAAGAGACTTGAAATAATGAATCTCTACAATCTTCAAGCTCCAAAATCTTTGGTTATGTGCTTCATAGCAAGCTTTTTAAAAGGCACGACAATGTTTAAAAATAAAAATACTGATTTTCTTACAATTTTTCAGAAAAAAAATTCTCACAATATTGCATTTTTCCCTATAATACTTATGTGCAAAAGCATTTGTATGGCATGTTTGAGAATGATAATGAAAATGTACTGTTCCACCTGCTATTCTTACCAACTATATTTGCAGTGGAGAAAAGCACATCAGCCAGTTTTTAAACGCTCCCCAATTTTTTTCTCCCCTAAAAACCTGGGAGCGGGCTCCAAATACGTTAAAAGTTCCACTTCGTACACTACTTTTTTTTTTTTTTTTGCTTCTGTTTAAGTTCGTAGTTTGTGGTTAGCACACTACTCTAGAAACGAGTCCAACAGGAGAGCAAGATTGGCTGTGGCCGTTTTAAGGATAGAAGGAAGGCGTTTTGCCACAGCTGACTTCAGAGTTCAACGTTTTCTTCCCCTTAACATTTCCCTATACCGCTGACCCCAATGTAGAGCGCAGGTGTTCTGGTAAGCGCCAGCGGAGCCAGAACCCCTCGCTCGCAAAGCACCCGAGTCTGCAGGTTCCTATCACCTCCTCCCCACCAGGACTCAAACAACGACCCTGACTCCGCAGGGCCAAAGGCGGCGGCCACGGTGGGATCATAGACCGCTGCTATCGGGCCCGCAGTCCAGGAGCCCCAGGAATCAGCCACAGCCGACAGGTCTCCGCTTCTCCAGAGAAGTCTGGACTTACCATGGCTCCGTCGGTCTGAGCCCGGAGGGCTTCACTTGCTCCCGGCGACGGCGACGCAGGCCCTAAAAGACCCACCGACCCACTGATCCACCGGCTGACTGACGTGGAACTTCCGGGAGGCGCTTCTCGCGATAGTCGAAGGCCAGGCCTCAGGCGCCTGCGCAAACATCATGCAGGGCTGTCCTTTCTCAGGCCTCGCCCCGGTTTCCGAGGCAACGAGGCCTTCTAAAGGTCCTGGGATTGACTTGGCTTGGTTGGGAGGAGGGGTGAGGCCGAGCGCTCCGTGGGGCTGTTGAGCGTGGGCCTGGATGACAAAGCCGAGAGAATAAGAGATGAGAAACGCGAAATATTGAATTTCCTCTGAAGGCTAATGGCGGCGTCGCGGAGGCGGAGAAACGCTGTCGGATCTTCCGGGACTCTGAGAGAGAAAGGGGAGAGAAATAGCGAAACTAGGTCCTAAAAGTAGCGTGTTCTGGTGGGCGAGAAAGCAGGGCCAAGAGAGCTAGCTCTCTGTGGGCCTTGGAAGGCGCTGACCGAGCCCAGGAAGACGTGGGCCGGACTCTGGGCCTCTGAGGTCATTTGAGGCTTAAGAACTTTCAGGTCCGGAGCCTCCGGGAGTCAGGACTACCTAGCCTCCTTGAGTTGCCTTTCACTAAGCATTGGCCCTGCCCTGCCCTGCCCTCCTGATCTCTCAGCACACATTTATCAGTCTTCAGCCATGTGCCAGACATGCTTTCCTCTCAAATCTTTGCATCAAACCTGAATTAGTTCCAGTTTGCTGATGAAGAAGCTAAGGTTCAAAGAAATTTCTTTTTCCCCCAGTATTAGGAATTGAACTCAGGACCTTGAGCTTGCCAGGAAGGCGTGGCGCCACAGGGTTCAAAAAAATTTAAGAGCTCTGGCCAAGACAGAATAGTGTCAGAGTTTGAACTCAGATGAGTATGACTTGAGAGCACCAGCTCTATCTACTAAGTCAGGATATCTTGGTAAATTTAATTAGTTGAACTGTAGAAGAAGGGCCTATGCGGTAGGAGTTACAAAGCGAACTGCAAGAGCACTTGCCTGATGGCCTTCACATTTCCTACATTCTTCCCTTTGTCTCCCTCACTCCTTCCCTCCTTTCCTTCCTCCCTTTGTTCCTTCCTTTTTCTTTAAATAAAACATCATGAGGCAAATAAAACTTACCTTCTGACTACATATAAACGTGTACCTCTGAGCTGAGAGAAGACTTGGGGTCTTTTTAAAACCCCTAGATTTCCAGAAGGGCAATGCATGTGTAGACAGATATTCACAGAGAAACCTATGGAGTCTTCAAGTAATTTGGCTTTTAGTGGGAGCCTTCTAATGTGACTTCTTTGTAGGCTGTTTTCCTCATCTTAAAAAAATCAGGCTGCATAATTTCTAAGATCCTTCCATTTTTACTATCCTGTGTTTCAGTAACATTTAATAGAAAAAAGAGTGGGTCTTCAACTGAATTTTAGTGCCAGTAGTGTGGTCTCATTATACATAATTGAGACTAATGATTGCATTCTTTGCTTATTACAGTGAATGAGGATCACAAGAATTGAATGAAAATTTTACAAATATGAACTATACCTAATTTGCTTGAGTAATGGGGCTTTTGTTATTTCTGATTTCTGAATTCTCTTGCACTTGAGAGTATTTTGAGGTTTGATGCAGTACCAACTAATATAAAATAAAATGATACATCATTTATATTACTTTAATAAAATTTTTAGTAGTGTATATTTTTGATACATAATGAATTTATTCACCATGGGATGTTGGTACATACACATAAGGCATCTTGATCCTTTTTTCTTAAAGGACTTTGTTAGGGATTCTTACATCCTTATACACTACTAGGCACACAAAGACTTATCTGGCTGGTTTTGATGAAGGCCTAGGCCTGCAAGTGTCATGCTCACTTTATATCTTCAAAAATTTATGCTGCAGTTAGCCAACGTTAAGTTCTGTAATTATGTACTATAAATTCATTCTTTCAGTCATTACACAGTGAATTTGTGCTATTAAAAAGCACTCTATGGCATGCTGCCTGAAGATAATATCCCTAAAATTTCAGTAGTTGACTTCGGTTGAAAGAAATTTAATTTTAAAGAAATAAAATCTCAAATATTCACTAATATATAAACCAACATTAAATATATGGATGTATAGTCACTGTGTTCAACAGTGGGCTTTCAATAAAATCTTTGTTTACTCTTTGGTTTAGAGGAGTCTATGAAGTTAGGAAATAGCTTCAGGGATGAAAAGAAATATGGACATGCTTAACAAACTGGTTAAGGATTTCCCAAGAGGTTGGTTGCAATTGATCAACAGATCTTAAAGTCTTACCTGGTCAATTTCTATGATGGCTCTGTCAAGCTTGGCTTTTCTTTTTTTCCTGTTGCTAAGAGAATTTCAAGTAGGAATTCTGCCAGCAGTGCAGTATCCTAATATACCCTTCCCTCTGCATCCTGACTCTAATCCTTCGTGAGAAATTGAAGAAATGAAAATAATTCCTTCAGCTAATGTCTAGTTTTGTGTTTGCCTTGGCAGGGGGGACGCATACCAGAGATTGAACTCAGGACCTTGCGCTTTCAAGGCAGGCGGCAGAACCACTGAGCTAAATCCCTGGCCCAGTGTTTGCTTTTGAATATACATACTTTATCACTTAGCAGAGTGGTAATAGGAGCATGAATAAGAACCTAGTTTCTCCTTCAAAGGAGTTAAAGTCTCAAAGCAGCCAATTATTTGTGTTATGCACAAATAATTGAATACCAGGCAGAATATGAGTACCGTCAGACATACCAGTAAAATACTCAGGATAAAATATCCAGCCAAGGAGAATTTCAGTTTCATAAAGAAGGCAAATAGAATTTGAGGCAGACCTTGAGGTGAGAAGTGCATGGTATATTTGAGGTCCAGACTATGTCCAGTTGACTCAGAGAATAGTATTCATTTAGAATTGCAGAGAAGGAGAAGGAAAAGAGGGATGTTGGAGGTAGAATCCAAAGTTTGTGTTTTTTATTAGTTCTTTTTTTTCTTTCCAGTACTGGGGATTGAATTCAGGACCTTGTGCTTGCAAGGCAGGCACAGCACCACTGAGCTAAATCCCCGCCCCCTAAACCCAAAGATTTTTAAATGGGGAGGAATTGGGCTTTGATTCAGTAAGCAAGAGGAAACCATTGTTCTAGAAAAGAAATCTGTTCACATCTGTACTCTAGAAGATTTACATTTTCTTGATGTGTATAACACACTGGAAGAAATGAATTGGGACAGGACTATAAGAGGGGGAAGTGGGTTGGGAACAACATAATAACTTTTTTTGAGTCCTTACTATTTACCCCCTATTGGAATATGTACTTTGTGTACTGTAATTAATATAAGAATACTAAAAAGCATTATTTCGTCCAATTTATAGGTGAAAAACTGAGGCCCAAATGCTCCATGCCACACTACTCAAGAATGAGTGACAGAACTAAGACACAAACCTAAGTTGTACCTAAGAATCATAATACCCTTTTTACTGGACTTCCTTTTTCCTTGAGAAGCTAGAATCAACTGGATGTACAAATGATTTTGTTGCTAAGGCAGTGGGAATGATCCTAATGCTGGTGTTTTGAATCTAATGAATGCAGAGGAATATCTTTAATTTAAAAACATGTAGAGCCAGTAAATGGCCTTTGAAGTAATGAAAGAACAATCAGAAAAGAGACCTAGAAGAAGAAAAAATGAGAAAAAAAATGAACTGGTGAAAGAAAAGTGTAAAAGTCACCCAAGAAAATTGCATAGTACAGAAGGAAATTGAGGGAAGATGAAACAGGGTGATTAGTAGTTTTGGTATCTTTAAAGACCTTAAAAAGGCTTAGAATTTACATAAACTATTGCCAAGGAACTGTGATTGTAAAGACATTAGTAATTTCAAAAAAAGCATTTTCAGTTGACTAATGCTAAAGCAAGTTTGCAAGGGATTAAGACATAATTGGATGATAAAGAGGTAGAAGTTGTGAATATAAACATTTACCAAGAAGTTAGTGATAAAAAGCAAATATTGATGTGATACATGTAGCACTGAAAATGGGTTAACTATTCCTGCATATAGGATGTAGTTGACATTAATTACTTTATAATAATACTCCTTCTTTCTTTCTTTTTTTTTTGGTACTGGGGATTGAACTCGGGTCCTTGCACTTTCGAGGCAGGCGGCGGAACTACTGAGCTAAATCCCCGGCGATAATAGTCCTAATAGATAAAGGCAACTAAATGCACCTTTGTGGTATAAGACCCAGGTGAGACGTAGCA